CCGCGCGACCACCCAGTCCCGGGCAAGGGACGCCCCCCGCCCCCTGCACGCCCTTCACTCGGCGGGGCACAGCGCCCAGAGCACGCACACCCTCTCCGCAGACACACAACATGGCAGGCTCACAATCCGGCCCAGCGGGACCCGCAGACCCAGGCTCAGCACACTCACGGGGGCAGCCCTGGACACACGCACATGCCCAACCCCCTCCCCAGAAATGCGCAGGGCCCCCCGCCAGGCTGCGGGCCGGGCAGGCCGGAGCCCTACAGAAATGACTACCGGTGCAGATGAACACGCAGCTTGGTATTTTGTCCCCACCGGCAGAAATATCCACATCGGTATACTTGTGCATAAATGCAGAGGCCTTGCTGTGCACCTCCCTGGACGCCACCAACAAAACACCAGGTGGAAGCACACAGAAGAAACACACATTCCTGAAACTCCAGAGGGACAGTCCCAGAGACTCCTCCCTGGCGTTCAAAAATTCAGAACTCAGGAGACACAGCGGCCAGCCCCTCAGAGCTCCTTCCCGCAAAACCTTTCTGAAACAAGGTGAGACATACGTAAACAAAGTAATACAAAGCCAAGGAAGTCTCATCACAGAGCTACTCACAAAGAAGAAAAAAAAAGAGAGAGAGAGAATGAGACAAACTTTGGAGCCAGAGAGACAGACATAAAGAGCCAGCCGGCTTGGAAACAATGAGAAACTAGGCCCACCCCCACCTCAGGAAGGTTCCAGGGAAGAACCTCCCACCCCCACCTCAGGAAGGTTCCAGGGAAGAACCCCACTCCCCACTCCAACCAGGTCACAAGGGCTGGAGCTCCGAAGGGCCCAGGCCCCCTGAGCCAGGAGTAGAGGAGGAAGTCCAAGGAAAGATGGTGAGTGTGGGGGTCAGGGAGGCATAGCCCCCTTCCCCGTAGCTCCTGGCCGCTCCCTTTTATCTCTTCCCCTACAACTTTCCCAGCTGTCCTGGAGACACCCACAAATGAAACTCACAATGGTGTACCCAGATGTCCCCGGAACCCATGACATCACACAGACGCCCAGCATCTGAGGCTGCCTCCCCTTCCCCAAACCAACAGAGCACGCTTGGGTCCTCTTTTTCTTCTCCACGGAACAGCTCACCCAGAGAAACACGATGCGCCAAGACTGCTCACCCCCTGCTTCCTGCTTTAGAGGCCCAAGGCCCAGACTGTACCCCCCTCATCCAGTTTCAGGCCCTTTCTAGCTCCTGAGGGTTCTCCGCAGCAAGACAGCCTGCCCCCCCCCCCGACCCCTGTTACTGTCCCACGAGGTCCCAGACCCCAGCCTGGCATTCGCCCCCCCCCGGGGCCCCCGGGGCTGCGGCTGCCCTAATGCCCCAGCTCCTTTCTCCCTCACAGGCTGGCAGTCACCCCTACTTCAACCTGCCTGACTTCACCCAGCCATCGCCGCCCTCCACTCCGCCCAGCCTCCCCTCGCACCAGCGCTGCCGGCCCTCCGATGCCACCAAGGGCCTGCTCGTGGCCCTGCTGGGTGGGGGCCTGCCGGCTGGCTTTGTGGGCCCCTTCTCCCGTATGGCTTACCAGGCTTCCCACTTACCCTCGCTGGAGCTGCTCATCTGTCGGTGTCTCTTCCACCTTCCCATTGCCCTACTACTGAAACTGCGTGGTGACCCACTGTTGGGACCTCCCGATGTCCGGGCCCGGGCCTGCCTCCACGCCCTGCTCAACGTCCTCAGCATCGGATGCGCCTACAGTGCAGTTCAGGTGGTGCCTGCTGGCAACGCGGCCACGGTCCGCAAAGGTTCTTCCACCGTCTGCTCTGCTCTCCTTGCCCTCTGCCTCGAGAGTCAGGGGCTCAGCGGCTATGACTGGTGTGGTCTGTTGGGCAGCACCCTGGGACTAATCATCATTGTGGGACCCGGACTAGGGACACTGCAGGAGGGGACCACGGGCCTCTACACCGCCCTGGGCTATGTGCTCGCGTTCCTGGGCGGCCTGGCACTGTCGCTGGGGCTCCTGGTCTATCGCTCCCTGGACTTCCCCTCTTGCCTCCCGACAGTGGCCTTCCTGTTTGGCTTGGTGGGGCTGGTGGGCTCTGTGCCAGGCCTCTTTGTACTGCAGACCCCTGTGCTGCCCAATGATCCTCTGAGTTGGAGCTGTGTGGGGGCCGTGGGGATCCTCGCCCTGGTCTCCTTTGTGTGCGTGAGCTATGCAGTCACGAAGGCCCACCCCGCCCTGGTGTGCGCCGTCCTGCACTCCGAGGTGGTGGTGGCCCTGATGCTGCAGTATTACGTGCTCTATGAGACCGTGGCGCCTTCCGACATCATGGGGGCAGGGGTGGTGTTGGGCAGCATCGCCATCATCACCGCCCAGAACCTCAGCTGTGAGAGGGAAGGGCAGGTGGAGGAGTGAGATCGAACTGGAGAGCCTGGGGGTTGGGGGGGCAGGGGGAAATAGAAGGACAAGGAGAGACTGGAATACAAACATGGGAGAAGAGGTGACCGGAAAAGAGCTGATATGGGAGAGGGACACTCCTTGGAGTCAGGGGTGGAGAGGGACTCTGCCTAGAAGACCTGGAACAAGCGTGGGGACCAAGACATGAGGAGTCTAGGCTGGGGCTTGGGGATCAGGGCACAACTGCAGGGTAAGTAAGGTCTGAGGAGCAAACCAAAAAGGAGCTGAGAGGCAGGCGGGCCATGAGCCATGGGGAGGATTTCTCCCTCAGCAGCAGAGAGAAGAGCATTGGGGCCGGAGTGTTTGGGCGGCTTTCAGGCGAACGGACAGAGCGAGCAGCGGGGGGTAAGGGAGTGCGCCTTTCTTCTCCTGAGAGCCGGTTTCCTTTCCTCATGGTTATGCCCGCCCCCCCCCTCCCCGGTGGTGACGTGACATTGACATCAAACAAGGATCACTCTGAACCTGGCTGTGCCTTGGTGTCATCTCTGCTTTGGAAGGACAGTGAAAGTCCTACTCCGCTCTCATTGGAGAATCCCTTGGGATCCCTGCCCCCTCCCCCCGCCAATCTCGTTTCTGAAATATTCTAGAAGGGGGTAGGATCTCCCAGCGTTCAGACGCCTTGACTCTGAATCCCCCAGGACTTCTGCGTCCCGCCCATGGCTAATCTGCTTTTCCTGGATTGTCGCGGTCCCGTGATCTCTCCCGGACAGTGGCCAGCCTCCTTCCGGAGAAGGCTTCCCGAGCGGACGCCTCTTCGAGCGGCTCGGGCCGGGGGTCGAGGGCCCGAGCTCCGTACAGCGCTCCCTTGGAGGCCCGCAGATGCCCACCCGTCCCAGGAGGCCGCTCGACAAATATCAGCTACTTCCGGACAAGCGATTTGCCTCGCCATCTTGATCGGTTCATGCATATTCAGCGTGGTTACTGCATATGCATGACCAAGGACGGCCCCAGCGCTCCCCCCTCCGGGAACCCTCTTGGGAGGATCCGACCGGCCCCGCCTCCTTCATTACCGATTCGCAGAACAGACCATTTTCCAGCGGAGGGAGGGGGGGAATATTAAAGGGAGACTTTTGTTGAAGACGAAAGCACGGTCCAAACTAGAATAAAAGCGGCCTGTATTTCCCCTCGGTCCTTCAAACCTTAAATCTCAGGGCGGGAGGGAGCAGAGAGGGGAGGCAGCGGGGTCAAACACGTTCCCCTCCCCCGCGTCACTTCTAAAGGTCGTCCAACCAGGGAGCCGGGGAGGGCCGACCAACGACTCGAGCGCGCGCTCCGTGCAGGCCGGCGCAGGCGACCCCGTAGCGCAAGGGAGGGCGGGAAAGGAAGGGGCGGGGATGCAGGGGCGAATCTATAAAGGGCGTCATTCGGCTAGTTCGCTTCTCAGAAGCGCCGAGAGCGCGGCCGGGACGGTTGGAGAAGAAGGCGGCTCCCGGAAGGGGGAGAGACAAACTGCCGTAACCTCTGCCGTTCAGGAGTCTGGTTACTTATTTATTCGTTACCCTTTTTCTTCTTCCTCCCCCCGAAACCTTTTCCTTCCCCCCCCTTCTTTTTTTTCCTTTTTGGGAGACGAAAAATCTCCGGAAAGGGGGAGGAGAGCTCCTTTCGCTCCTTTTTCACTTCCCCGCCTCCTTCCCTCCCCCACCTTTCCCTCCTCCGGCTTTTTCCTCCCAACTCGGGGAGGTCCTTCCCGGCGGCCGCCCCGACGGGGTCTGAGCACCTAGGCGGAGGCGGCGCAGGGTTTTTGTAGAGAGGTTTGCGCCTGCGCAGCGCGCCGGCCTCCGCGATGCACGGGGGCGGCCCCCCCTCCGGGGACAGCGCATGCCCGCTGCGCACCATCAAGCGAGTGCAGTTCGGAGTCCTCAGTCCGGATGAACTGGTAAGCGGCCCTGCCCTCCCTCTGCTCCCTGCCGCGGCGCCGGCGGGGCCCGACGCTGGCAGCCAGGGTGACGGGCCGCCGGAGCCGAGTGTCGCGAGCGTGTGAGCGAGCTCGGCGCTGTGTCCGGGCCGGAGGCCGGGCCGCAGCCGGGGTGGGGGGAGATCGGAGCACCGACGCCGAACAAGGGGGGCGCTTTGGAAGCGCGGATGCGAAGCGGGACCCCAGATCCTTGTTCCCCCCTCCCCCTTCCACAACTACTCATTGGACGCCCGCTGTGTGATAGACACGACAGACTCTAGGGTTGCAGAGCTGGACGAGACGCAGGAGGACCCTGCCTCCTGTGGGCGCTGTCCGTGGCAAGGGGCAGGGGAGGCCGACAGTAAACGTACAAATAAAGGAGCAAACAAGACAGCTCAGTTATGGCAAGTGCTCTGAATGGAGCGAAGAGGAGTTACCGAGGTGTGAGGCTCCTGTGGGCGGGGTGATGTCAGGGTCCATGAAGCCCCTTCTGGGGAGGCGACATTACCTGGATGAAGAGGAGGCAGCCAGTCCTCTGGGCCACAGATCCTAGAACAAGAGCTTTTCAGACAGAGGAAACAGCAGGTGCAAAGGGCTTGAGGGAGCCATGAACTTGGTGTGTCCCAGGGGCTGGAAGAAGTGCCAGTGTGACTGGGGTTTAGACGGGTGAGGAGAGTTATCGAAATGGGCTGGAGAAGCATGAGACTGGGCAGGCCCGGGGGGATGTTGTAAATCATGGTAAGGAATCTGAGTTTAATTCTGTTTTTAACAGGAAGCCTTTGGAGAATTATAAGCCAAAGAGTGACATCAAGTTTACATTAAAAAACACACACACACGCACAAATTACTAGTACTTTGGTTGCCGTGTGAAGAGCTGATTGCGGGGGAGGGCTAAGGAAGAGAGTGGGAGAGATCAGAGAGGAGGGTGGTTCTGGGGGAGAGCTGTTGGTGACTTGGACTCCTCTGTGGAGTGAACTGGAGGGAGCCAGGTGGCTGGAGAGAATGGTGTTGAATGGCCATCTTTGTGGATGGAGACAGTTTTGCTGGAGGATGAGGCACAGCTGCGTGAAAGTTATGTCAGGAGTTAGAACCTCGTAAGCTCACAGCATACAAAGAATAAATTCTGGGTGGAGTTAAGCTTTAAATCTAAAAAGCAAAACTGGAAAGCACCAGCAAAATAGAGAAGGCTTGGGAGTCTGATTCCAGGGGCAGAACCCCTTCATGGTAATGAATGAATTACAGGTAAATTTTACTGAGTGCCTACCATGTGCTAGGCACTGAGCCAAGCACTTTTTTCTTTTTTAATCTCTATACCATAACATGGGGCCCGAACTCACAACACCGAGATCAATGCCACGTGCCCCTCTGACTGTCAGATGCCCCAGCATTTTATGTACAAGGAAGAGCAGGGCACATTTCACTATATAAAAATAAGAGCCACTTCTCTTTATCAGAGGCACAATGGACATCTAAAAAACAGATTGGGAAACAGATTTGCACTGTGATAGTCAAGGCTAGGTTCCTTAATATACAAGGAACACTTAAAAATCAGTAAGAAAAGCACACACCTGCTAGACAAATAGAGGATACAAATAAGCTGCTCACGGAAGTAGTACAAGTGGCCAATAAAAAATACTCAGTTTACTAATAAAAACGTGCAAATTAAAGGTTTTTTTCTTAGATTATCTGATTTTTCTCTGCTGGCAAAAGTATTGGGAAATAGGCATGCTTATACATTGTTGGTAGCCTTTTTGGAGGACAGTCTGACAATTTTATCAGTCGTTTGATGCGTATTCTTTGGTCCAGTATTGCCAGTTCTAAAATTTTGTCCTTAAATAAAAAAACTCTGAATTTCTGCTCTCGAGCATGCCCTTCCCCAGGTCTTGTCTGGTTCAGCAAGCACACAGTGGCCATACCATTCATCCACTTAAACTCAGGCCAAAAACCTAAAAGCCATCTTCGATTCTTCTCCTCACAACTTGCACTTGGCCCATCTGCCAGTCTGTCAGCTCTGCCTTTCAAAGTGTGCCTGGAATCTGGCCATTTATGACCATCTCCATCTGGACCGACATGTCCCACCTTTCTCATGGAATACTGCAGTAGCCCTAGCCCCTACTTGTTCCTTCCGCAGTTTGCCGAGCAGCTGGGGAGCTCTTTTTATCATGTCTCTCCCCTGCATGGAATCCCTTCCGGAGGATCCAGACTGCTTACTCTGAACTGTATTGAGGTCCTGGCTTATCTGGCCTCCGCCTCCCTCTCCAGCTCATTACCAAAGTCCCCTTTGGGTCTTCTTTAACCACACCGACCTGCCTGTTCTTCCAACATTCCGAGTTCATTCATGCCTCAAGGACTTTATTATTAACTGTTCCTGCTGCTTTAGAACAACATTGCCCAGGCCTACCCAGGCTTATTCCTTTACATCCATATATTCTCTGCTCAGATGTCATATCGTTAAGACGGCTTTCCTGACCACCCTGTTTAAATAGTGTCCCCCCTGCATCCTCTAACCCCTGGTCTTTATTTTAAGTAATCTTTGCACCCTAGAGTGGGCTCGAACTTACAACCCCGAGATCAACAGTTCCATGCTCTTCTGACTGAGCCAGCAGGGTGACCTCTAACCCCGGTCTTGACTTTATTTTACTTCGTAGCTTGCCACTCAGAAAGGATTCGTTTTTCTGTTTCTTGCTCCCTCAGGAGAATGTAAATTTCATCAGGGACCCTGTATTCACCTCTTAATTTCATCATCTCAGAGGTTGCCTGGAACATAATTGTGGTGTAATGAGAATGAGTTAAATTAATGAGTGAATGAAGTAATTGGAAAGGATACAAAGATATGTGTAGAAGGGTTTTTATCACAACACTGTTTGGAAATGATACTGTTTGAAATTATAAATTGCCTACATACTTGCTGATAGGAATTCTGTGGAGCTAACTCGGGGTGTGTTCTTGGACTAGAACAAGATCTTCCCAGCAGACTAAATCCCCTGTTCCCAGACTGTGCTGAGCCACCGCGGCAAGCTCTCAGGGGCCCAGGGAGAGGTTTTAAATTTTCAAGATAAGTACAAGAAGATCGGCTTTGCGTCTGATGTCCCGGGAACTAGGAGTTCCTGATAGTTGCCTTTCGACATTAGATGGCGCCAGACCCCTTTCAGTGACGTCATATCTTGGGGAAGCTGGGTTTTTAGCAGTTACCAAATACAGGCCAAAAAAAAAATCAACGTAGAGCAAGAAAGAAGGGTGGTGCTGTCCAATCTGATCCCAAGATCTGCCAGGTTGTACAGGGCCCGACAGGGGTCAGAAGTACGTCATTGTTATTTGGGAAATTAAAAAAAAATTTTTTTTTAATATATTGGAATCTTTCTCCATTTATGTGTGTTTTTTTAAATGGCTATGAAGTTGGTAGGACATAGGTATTTATTAAGTTGTTTGGGCCTGGGTACTTTTTTCTTTTAATTATTTTTTTTTTTTTAAAGATTTTATTTATTTATTTGACAGAGAGAGACATAGTGAGAGAGGGAACCCAAGCAGGGGGAGTGGGAGAGGGAGAAGCAGGCTTCCCGTGGAGCAGGGAGCCCGATGCGGGGCTCGATCCGAGGACCCTGGGATCCTGACCTGAGCCAAAGGCAGACGCTTAACCACTGAGCCACCCAGGCGCCCTGGCCCTGGGTACTTACTAAGTGGGTCTCTTTGGGCCCAGGGAGTGCTGCGAAAGTTGCTGACGTGGCGACTAAGAGCCCTTTGAACTGATGAAGTTCAGGGTTCTGAGAAATAAGTTACCAGAATGCAGAGTGAGACCCTGTTCATGTAAAAATAGAAAGGTGTTTGCATTTTATAAAACATGTGGAAGGCTGGCTGTTCACAAAACAGAGGCCGCATCCGGTGTGCAGGGGGACCGGGGGCTTTGATTTTGCCCTGCATTGCTTGCAGTTGATTCAGTGCTCCTGTGTCTTGAGGGAATAACAGGTAGTTCCGCTTTGGGTAGGAGGACCAGAGGGTGAGGGGCCTCTTGTGGAACAGACGGTATTTAAGAGTAGGATGTTTTCCAGAAGTCTTGGGGAGGGGTGTGTGTCGAGGTACTGAGGGCTCTTGGAATTAGCTGCAAGACGGAGCTGTTGCCTTGGCCGTTGTAGTGGGTTTGGAAGTTGCTGAGTCCTGAGGGAGAGGAAGCAAGGAGGGTTGGTGCTCAGGCTTTATGCAAAGCTGGTACAAAGCCAGCAGAGATGAGAGCTCAGTGACACTTGAAGA